ATCGCGCGCGAACGCGCGTTTCTTTTGGCGCCACGACTTCGAATCGTGGCCGAAGCTTCGAAGCGGTTCGTCGCGCGATGGAAAAATCAACCGCTTGCTCGACAAACTTTTTCACCCATATCCCGCGTACAACAGATTCGTCGTTTTCTTTTCGTTCACCGAGAACCGACGATACCATCGATGGACTTTCCGTGGTTGGCCGAGACGCGTCTCGTTCAAAAATATCTTTGAAAATTACGTAACGTCGGATCGCGAGCCGCTCTCCGCTAGCCGTTCCGTCGACTTTACGCTTATCTCGTGAATCGCGCCGCTTCGATAATACGAGATACGAAATTCTTCGTGCGCGTTATCTCTCCACGTGAAAAAATCGCGTAATCGCGATGGCGTCACGAACCCGCGAGCCTCGTGCGGGTTTCGCGAGCCAACCAACAACACAATACGGATGTTTCGACAGACGAATTCCTTTTCGATTTCCTTATCGCGTCGAGAAAAGCGCGCGACGAAAAATGTTCGTCGTCGCGAACGCGTTCTCGCGTCGCGTACGTTTAACGAGAGAGACTCGTTTCGCGATTAACGACAAGGTCGCAACTTCGTTAGAACGAAATTCCAGCGTGGCTCGTTACGCGACCGAGCATTCCCGACGATTCTCTCGTTCGTTTCTCTTCGATCGTACGAATATTTATCGTTATCAGCGACGAGATATTCGCGATTCTAGAGAGCGGCAATTTTCGCGTTAACCGCGCGGTCGAATCGCCAACAAAAATAGAGATACGTGATGCGCTATAAATAGAAATAGGAAAGATTTCGCGTGCCAAAAATTCTCGAATCGCGTGCATCGGTGCACACGCGGTCGCGAGATCGAGCGATCGAATCGACGCGACGCGGGGAGTTCGGCGCTTAATTCCCCGTGACGAGCGCGATCCATCTCGCGTCGGTTGCGTAAATGGTTCGCAACTTTCAACCGAGAATCGTGACGAAGCGCATTTTTTGCCGTTCGAGAAATTACTTAAACCCCGCGATACGCTATCGAGTCATCGATTGTTCGTTGCGTAATCTTTTTCGAACACGGTCATATACACGGTTCTCGGCATTATCCGGGAGGGGATAGTCCTCTGGCCGTAGCGCTAAACTTTCTCTATTTGGCCATTCCGACGGCGCTTTATATGATCGAAGATTCGTTTCTTTCGTTTTACCAGTTTGCGCGTCGTATCGATTAGACAACGTTCGAAATATTTTCGGTACTGCCACGTACAGAAAAAGAAAATCGGAAGCCTACAATATCGTGCACTCGAGCTCCCTATCGCGCTCCGAATTTCAACCACGACGCGTCGAGAAGGTAGGAAACGACGTTACGCGATTGATACCGTGCCACGATAAGCTGATGCGTTCTACAGTACCAACGACGATTGGACGACGGATCGTTACCGTTGGCCGAGCAGCCGATACCGATAGCGCAAAGCATCTCCGTCGGTAACGTATAATTCTTATCGAAATTCGAACGGTACGATCGGTATCGGCGTTTACCGACGTCGTCGTTCGAATTCCGAAACGTCCCGACGCGAGATTTACGCGAACGTATCGCGTAAACGAACTCGGCGACGTTTCTCGCTGGCACGACCTCGATGCCAGCCTCGATGTCGGTTCTGCACGGATCGACTATGCTACCGGCAAATACGCTTGTATCCGTGTTCTTCAATAGGAAACGTCGAGCCCCTAAACGTATTATTCACTTGACAAAGTGGAAAATAACGTCCGCCTCGTCCGAGACTCGGCAGCCACGATCGAAGACATCCTCGACCGGGTTGGGGGACCGGGAAAGATCCGACCAGGAGTCGCGAGATCGTTCCGTTTTCGCGAACTTTCGCGCGATTCGTGTCAAGGTGAACACGGTTTTCGCGAGTTCCTAGTACGCGATATCGCCTTATTCGGTTCACCTTTGCGTGAATCGGCTTTAGGCGTCTCGGTTTCGGAAAACGAAACTTTCTACTTTCGCGCGTTCGGGCCTCGTCGCTCGCGTCACGGTTAGCATTCCTAATGGGTCGAGGAACGACGGACAGTGTCGAAATTCCAAACGACAGAAATCTTGATTCTAAGCTACGTTCGTACACGTATCGCGATCGCGTCTCGTTCGAATTCCACGATGGTTCGGCTCACCGATCGTTTCCGCCTGCTCGTTCGTTTCTTATTATATGTATAGGCGCGTGTTGTTCGTTCGGTTCGCTAGACGTCTGTCGCGAATAGAAAAAGGCGAGCGCGCGCCGCGTTATGCGTTATTCAACAACGAGGACGCGAAACGTTTGAAAAGGACTTTTCCTCGTAGTCCCGCGACTTTTAGCCTCGAACGAGGCACTCCTGGTAGTCGAGATTACTCGTAGTTCGAACGAATCGATCGAATACCGCCGCGGCGACGAGCGTTCTCGCAACGGGAATAGGGAAAAAATTTGAGCGTACGAGTCGAAACAAGGTCGACCCACGATCGAACGACCAGTTCACCACATATTTACGGAGCACCTACGCTCGCTGCGGACCAACGTTGGTACCAGCACCAGTTTTTTTTTCCCTCTTTTTCGCGGTTAATCGAACGAGTTCCCAGACAGCGTTACGCGTTCGTTCCGGTTCTCGTTATCCTAGCCGTTCGAAAGTTGCCGCCGCGTTCTCGAGCGACCGCGTATCGCGTATCCTCGCGCGCCAACTTTTTCCTTCGGGAACGCGTTATCGTTCGACGAACTGCTCGCGAACGCGTAGCACGCGTGTCCAGGACGCGAAACGGCTAACGGACAAGAAAAGAAATCGAAACAAAGACGAGGTATCGTATTTTCGACCGCTTACGTAACCGTACACGAAAAGAAATATTCGATAAGATAGATAACTGTTAAGAAACTGCCGTGGTTCTCGATCAAAATTCGATGAAACATTGATCAATGAACGGGAAAGATCCGACCAGGAGTCGCGAGATCGTTCCGTTTTCGCGAACTTTCGCGCGATTCGTGTCAAGGTGAACACGGTTTTCGCGAGTTCCTAGTACGCGATATCGCCTTATTCGGTTCACCTTTGCGTGAATCGGCTTTAGGCGTCTCGGTTTCGGAAAACGAAACTTTCTACTTTCGCGCGTTCGGGCCTCGTCGCTCGCGTCACGGTTAGCATTCCTAATGGGTCGAGGAACGACGGACAGTGTCGAAATTCCAAACGACAGAAATCTTGATTCTAAGCTACGTTCGTACACGTATCGCGATCGCGTCTCGTTCGAATTCCACGATGGTTCGGCTCACCGATCGTTTCCGCCTGCTCGTTCGTTTCTTATTATATGTATAGGCGCGTGTTGTTCGTTCGGTTCGCTAGACGTCTGTCGCGAATAGAAAAAGGCGAGCGCGCGCCGCGTTATGCGTTATTCAACAACGAGGACGCGAAACGTTTGAAAAGGACTTTTCCTCGTAGTCCCGCGACTTTTAGCCTCGAACGAGGCACTCCTGGTAGTCGAGATTACTCGTAGTTCGAACGAATCGATCGAATACCGCCGCGGCGACGAGCGTTCTCGCAACGGGAATAGGGAAAAAATTTGAGCGTACGAGTCGAAACAAGGTCGACCCACGATCGAACGACCAGTTCACCACATATTTACGGAGCACCTACGCTCGCTGCGGACCAACGTTGGTACCAGCACCAGTTTTTTTTTCCCTCTTTTTCGCGGTTAATCGAACGAGTTCCCAGACAGCGTTACGCGTTCGTTCCGGTTCTCGTTATCCTAGCCGTTCGAAAGTTGCCGCCGCGTTCTCGAGCGACCGCGTATCGCGTATCCTCGCGCGCCAACTTTTTCCTTCGGGAACGCGTTATCGTTCGACGAACTGCTCGCGAACGCGTAGCACGCGTGTCCAGGACGCGAAACGGCTAACGGACAAGAAAAGAAATCGAAACAAAGACGAGGTATCGTATTTTCGACCGCTTACGTAACCGTACACGAAAAGAAATATTCGATAAGATAGATAACTGTTAAGAAACTGCCGTGGTTCTCGATCAAAATTCGATGAAACATTGATCAATGAAAAACACGTGTTGCACGCGAGAGCAATTTTTATCGACAGTCTTCACGGTAACAATCGTTCGTTTGTTCGTTTCGCGGAGTAACTTACAAAAGGCTCTCCGACCCCGTGTGTCTTACCGATCGCGGAAACGGCCAAATCGACGAAATTTCTTTAATGCCTATTAACGCGGTAATTATTCAAGGTTACGCGTTCTTTGTTAAACGGTTTACGTACAATGTCGAGCAACAAGTTTAAACGATCTTTGTTTAAACTTGATTGTCGCGTTGAAAATTGGTTGTATTCTGTTAGAAATGTGCAAGCGAAAATAACGCGATAACACACCGACGTAAAGTAATATGCATTATAAAAAATGTTCTTTATCGGCGGTAATCACGACGTTCCGTCGTGCTTTCCCAAAATGTGGCAGATCTGCAACGTTATATTCTTTTCGCCGCAAACACGTTGGTTCGATAAAACATTTGTACGAAGAAAAGGGGTACGTAAAGAATAAAAGTTCATTTCGAGTTTATCGTTAAAAGTTGTTCCATACCGAACTCTTCTTTATGGGGAGGCCAAAGATAAAGAGCGTCTATCTATTTAAAAATATTTGTTTGTCGTTATTCGCTCGTTAACGTTACAGGCAAGAATTTAAAATTAGATGTTTGTTAAAGAAAGAAAAAAAAAAGCGATGCAACGAAGTGTAAAAACGGTAAAGGGTGAAAAAGCAATTTCCCTCTGACGGGACGGACTTTGAATCGAAGGTCACCCTTCGATTTTTGCCGAACATCGGAATCCTCGAACGCGGTTTCGCGAAACGTGAAGAGAAGGTGGGACAACATACCGATATCGGTCACGTACGTTCCCGGTAAGACAAAGTATTTTGTGGTTCAGATAAGTTATCTCCGGTCGCGCGAGTCACGCGAACGGTTCGCGTTTAAGCGCCAGCTAGAGCCGAATTCGATTTTCATCGAAAACCTATCGCTGACGAATCGAGAATCGCTCGAACAGGCATTTTCAGGCGACGCCGCGAGAACACGGGAGCATCGGTGCGAGAAGGTCGCGCGAAAGCAGCGTGTACGATCCTTGGGATCGTTCGTAAATCGAGCGCGTTCATTAATCGTCCGTCCGCTCGATCGATCGCGAAACCTCGCTGCACGAGCGACGTTTTTCTCGTCGCCTAGGTATTTGCGCATCGCCGATTCTGTCGCGCAAACTAATTAAAAAATCCAAGGTAATCGCTACGAGATAACGTTGCTCCTGGATTAACTAATGCGCGTGTCACGATATGTCGATCGCCTTTCAAAACGTTTTTAATTATTACGCTAGACAGGGAAAAGAAGATGTCAGGAGTTTCGGGACTCAGCCGCGACTTCGTAACGGGCAATCGAGCGTGGAAACACCCGAGTTTCTCGACATTACGTAAAAGAAGGATCGGTGAACGCGGACCGGACTCTCTCGAGCTTTTTTCCGTTAGGCGACATTAAACGACACGGAATCGAAGATTTCGCGGATAAAGACCGTGAGAAGACTTACCGGTTGGCGCCGGCACTTCCGCTTCGAACACCTCCGGTCTCTTAACTTCGGACTTGCGACCCATGTTCGCGACACCGTTCGTGGCCATGCCGCACGAGTCCTCTCTTTTGCTACACTCCTCGTAGATTCGATCGTCGGAGCTAAGACCGGCGCGCCTGTCTCGCTGATACTGTTGGGAACGCTGCCGAACTCGCGACACTTAGCCGCAAACACCTAGTGGACGTTGACCAATTAGAACACGCGGCTCGAACCCCACCGGTGTCGACTTACTCCCCCACGCGCCGATATCGCTTCCGATTCATCGGATTTACGCGGGAAATACACCGATTTTGCGTCTCTCCTTCTCCTCTTACCTCTTTGCCACCACGTTTTCACAAACTTCCTACTCCGCTCTGCCTTTTCTTCTCTTCCTTTTCTGCCATCCTTTCCCAAACCTCCTGGAGACCCCCTACCATCGCTCTAATCCTTCCTCTCCTCGAAATACCGACAGGTCTTCGAGTCGAAATTCAACAACCTCACGAATCTATAGATCCAAACATTCTACGTGTCTAGTTATCGATTTATATTGCCTATACGCGTCTGTATTTTCTACGAGTACGCGTAAACGTTGTATGTCGACGAATGCCTTATAACCGGAATATTCGACTCTATATAATTTACGATGCTTTTCCCTAAGGGTTGGTCTCTCGCAACATCGACGGTGTAAACAAGAAAGACCTGTATACCCGAGTAGTATCCTTGCACGCGTTTATCGAACAAGTATATCAATCGTTCGTATAGCCTCCGTGTACGAATGTACCGAACGAAGTCGATGTACATTCGAATCGTATATCGTCGATAGATAACAACCCGCGCGTTTCATCGTTTTGCATTTTATTATCGACGAGTTATACGAGTCTGCGCTCATTCTATATACGTATATACCGTGTAAGTATACGACATAGAAATTCCATACCGCTCGAGCAGTCGAAATTCTTGCGCGATATTATCGTATCCTCGATCGTTGTACACTTGTGCAATAACTTTGTACATGCATACGGTTCGAGTGTACATTGCTACGTACGTAGCTGGCACGAACGAGATTTAAATTAACGCGGTAAGTACGCGAGGGAGAAGATAATCGGTTCGCGATAACGTCGCGGTCGCGGAGTAATCCTCGAGGAGTTTTTGGCTCGAATGACGAGGTGAATTTTCGAAGAGACACGGTGCGCAGGAGGAGGAAGCGGGGGCTTTCGCACGAATCCGACGTAATCCGGAGCACGCGTGGCCCATCGCGATGGCACACTCTCGTGATCTCTCGACAACCCACCTCCGTGAACGACGAACGAGCGCACGCCG